ACATTGATTTACATAAGACCACATAAATAAGTAGTCCTATTAATTATCGTTCGTAAACTGGCAAAAAAATAAATTTGCTCTATATTTATAGCAGCAATGATCATCAAACTGAAAAAGTGCAAAATAGTTGTTCAATCATTTGCATTTTAGCAGTCCTGTAAATGTAGGCCATAGGCCCACGGGTTCGCTAATCTATAGAATAAGATTTAGTGTCTCTGTGTGCTACGCAACTCCTCCTAAGCCGCTGGTAACACAAAGTTATAAGTGGTACCAAACGAATCGCTTCGATCCCAAGGTTTGTACAAATGTAAAATTTTTTACCTTACCTCTTTGAGAACCCGAGTATTTCGCGAAAACATTTTTACAGGGAATCCACGAAACGGATCCCAAATTTGACATTCATTTACATTGGATCAAGTAAATATAGTAGTTCAAGCATTAAATTTGCATTATAGCGGCCCTGTAAATATGAGCCATAGGCCCACGGGTTCGGCAGTAAATAATATTCTTTAGTCAATTACAAGCACTTATGAATGAAAATATAGAATAATGTAATAATGTTATAATAATATGACAACTACACGATATTTGCTATATCCAATTTATTAGCAAAAATCGTATAGACGGCGTTTTGAGTAAAGAGCAATATGGCAGAAGCAGACGATGGTAGTTCTCTTCACGACGAAGAAGGGTCTTCAAGTTCAACATTGGCAAACGTTGTCGGTCTAGGTGAGGTACTACAATGGCAATGGGATCCAACATCAAGTGGAGATTGGGATAAAGAAACTCCGTCTCCGCAGTGCTTGCTAAGAATTAAGAGGTAAGTTAATAGATTTTAATCAAGTTCAGTTTCAATTTCAGTGCTTTCGGTTAAGATTAAGAATAAGAATAAAACGTTTCATTTAAATCATTCACTTCAGCCTGTTCAGGCTATAGATCCAGAGGCAGAATCTGAGATTTTGATAATGTATAAAGCTGTATCAAACCAAATTCCAGTCTCCAAAAGTCTGATTACTTTTTCTTTTGCAAATGATTGCACCACTTAAGTTATGGTAATCTAACATTAGTAACAATGTTGTAACAATTAACTAGGATTCAAAGTATTTTAATTTTATCACTGGAATATTCATTTATCTCAGAATCTAATAATGACTTTGTATTCAGTATCTAGCTTCCTTTTCCAATGTACATTATTCTTAGAATGACATACTTTCTCATGGTGTAAATTGGTTATGCTAACTTATGCCATGGTTCAAAACTGCTATACTATTGCTAATATTAGTTGTTACTTGATATTGCAACATTGAGTTTGTTTAAGGACATAATACATATGTTATAGTACTTTTATCTTGATTGTGATGTAATTTCTATGTCATTACCCTTTTTCAGAATGTTCCTTTTGTATTTAAAAAGTACTTATTGGAGATTGAACAGTATGATTCATCCTGCAGGTGATGAATATGATCTGACCATTAACATGAAAATTTTAGAAAAACAACTTTGCTTTGAAAAGTAGATTGAACAGTTTCATATCATACATTAGTATTTGTAGCATTTTCTCTCCTAGATATAAGTTTTAAATTAATTCACTATTATAAGCACGAGTGTGGCATTCACATTGGGCAATGTCTGGGGCAACAAGTTTTACTGTTATACTTTGCCTATTGGATGAGTAGGTTTTTTTTTCACCATCATTTGTTCTTTTGCTAGAAAAAATTGTGTAGATTTATGGGAAGCTATGTAAGTTCTGGAAAATTATGAACTGCAGAAATGTCTAACACATACACATGAAAATTTATTAATGTGTTCTTCTAAATGAAAACTATATACATAAATTTAGATATCACTAATTCACAAACCCTCAGTCACACGTATGGTAAGAAACTTAAAGTAATGCAACAGTAGGACCCCAGTAAGGTTTTAATGCCACTTATAGGAAGAATATAAAAAGTACCAAAAACTTTAGTGTTATACATATACACACATACACACGTTTATAATTACTATTTTGGTTATAGTAGTACTAATTTAACCATGGTTTCTTTATCACCTTCTGCATAGGGTATTAGATAT